AGGCCAGAAGTCCCAAGCAGTGGCTAAGGGGTTAAGAGCCTGACTAAAGCATCTGACCGACTTGGGTTTAGTATTACCTTTGCTTCCTACTGGCCATGTAACATTGGACTACTTTGTCAACCTCTCTGTGCCTCAGTTTCCTTATCCTTAAAATAGAACTGGAATGTCTACATCATAGGGCACTGTGAGGAGTAAATGAAGTAATGCAAACCCACTTCTAGCATAGTACTTGGCATAGGTACAAGTAGCAGATAATATTGCTGACATATTCACCCTTTTTGCTCACTATTTTTTCCTCCTCTTTGCTCTCCTGACTCCTCGCCCTTCACCCACACATTCTATTAGTTAGACAACACTACGCTTGTGTTTTCAGGAAAGGGAAGAGAAAAAGGCAAATAGGGTGTCTCCCCTACTTCTGTGTTTCAAAAAATCTGCATTCTTAGGGGAATAGAAAGAAAAATAAGAATTTGAAGAGGGGAATTCTCATTTTCTTATAACCCAAATCAAAATAAAAGCCAAACCAAACCAAAACAAACTAGAAAAGATTCCCCTAGTTAGGGGTGCAAAAATGGTAATGAGGTAGCCATGAGGGTTTCTTGATTGAAGGAGACAGCAGACAGGGCCATGGATAACTTCACAGAGATTCCCTGTGCCCTGGCATTGGTGCATGTGATATCACATAAATGGCATATGAGCTCTCCTCTGGGGATCTGTAAGCCTATCTGCATAAAGCAGTTCTGTAATGTAAGAACTTTGGAATGATAGGTAGGGGAGGAGGGAGGAGAGAGTAATCTTTTTCTTATGGATTCTGTATGGCTCAGGATTCAGGATGCTCCACAAACATTTAGGAATAACATACGTCAAATCAGTAGGGTGTGATTGTACATTTTATAGATCACCTTCAAGTAATAAGAAGAAAGCCAAGACTTTTAGAAACATCTTGGAGTCTGACCTATCCCAAAGAAGGCAAGGGCGAGGGCCATTTTCATTCATATTTAGGCTCCTGGAATATTAAAATGATTAATAAATGATAAAAAATGGTGTTTCTGTTATTTATCATGGCATAACAAACCACCCCAAAACTTAGTAGCTTGATATACAGCTATTCATTTGCTCACAGTTCTGCGATTTGGACAGGACTCAACAGGGACAGCTCATTATCTCTGTTCTGTGGGGCGTAGGTTGTATTCATCTGGAAACTTGGTTGGAGCTGTGACATCCCTGTGGCCTCTCATTCTCCAGTGTCCCTCTCCACACGGTCTCTTACCTTTCAGCAGTCTAATCTGAGCTTCTGACCTGACAGTTGGGTCCCAAGAAGGCAAATGAAGAAGCTGCCAGATCTAAGCCTAGCACTGGCACAGATGGGTTCGGCCATATTCTACTGGTCAAAACAGGTCACGAGGGAGGAAACGGACTCCACCTTTGACATGAGGAGCAACATGAACCTACAAAAATAGGCAGATTCTACCACACAGGGTTATAAAATATTATTTTATTTTATTTATGAGATAGGGTCTCGCTCTGTCGCCCAGGTTGGATTGCAGTGGCACAATCACTGCCCACTGCAGCCTTGACCTTCTGGACTCAAGTGATCTTCCCACCTCAGTCTCTCAAGTAGCTGGGATCATAAGCAGATGCAACCATGCCTGCTAATTTTTTTAATTTTATTTTTGTAGAGACGAAGTCTTGCTACATTGTCCAGGCTGATCTCAAACGGGGCTCAAGTGACTCTCCTGCCTTAGCTTCCCAAAATGCTGGGATTACAGGCATGAGCCACCGTGCCCTGCCTGTGGTGTAAGATGACACTATGGCAATAAATTAACGATGCCAATTAGTGGTGTAGACGTGTCTTATAGATCAGAAATGAGGAGGAAGCCCCAAAGGGCATTAAGAAACTTACATCTGGATTTTGGGGCTTCATGTCAAAAGCCTCTGAACGTAGCTGTGGGTAGAGAAGATGGAACTGAACAGAAAGACAGCCAGGCCAGCTGCTAAAAAGTTGTGCCAGCCTTTGTGATAAGACAGAGATTACTGTGGGATCACAGACTGCTATTTTGGGAACATACATTATTTTCTTAAAAGCTGTTTATATTTTTTATAATTAGGTTCTGTCTTATGTTTACACATTTAAAAAATGCCAGTCTGGTCAGCTGTGCTAAGAGGAACCAAGAAAGAGGTTTTCGTTCAGCTTGCCCAGAGTTTTAAAGGGGAAGCGGCTTACTAATTGCCTGACATAGTGGAAACAACAGAGTGAGATCCTCAGAGAGAAGGTAACTGAGGGCAACTTGAGCTGGAAGCCCTTGTTTAGAAACTCTCCCACACTGAGATATGTTATCAAATCGCCTCCATCCCTCCATCCCCACAGTCTGCTTCTGTCCTGGTGGCCCAGACAAGAGGCAAGAAGGGACCTCAATGAACAGTGAGAAGGAAAAGTACCCTGGAATTGGTGATCCAGGAGTGGAAGGGGTTTGCCCTCCAGAATGGAGCCAGCAAACAGAAAATCTGATTTTAGCAGTCAGAGAGTATGGGGTGGAAGTTCAAAGCAAGCATGAACTTCCGAGTGCCAGTGTGCCCAGGCAGGCAAGTTACCGACTAGTTTTTTCTAGTTAGGGAAGGAAAAGACATATAGATTGCAGGAGGACTTCAGCCGATGCCTAGGTAGGAGACATGTGAGGGTTAGTGGGCTGGCGTGACTGCTTAAGCAAACTGGGGCACAGGGCAGAGTTCACGTAGCTAACTGGAACTTACAGCAGAGAAGAGGCAGGATTAGGGGTAGAGAAAGGCTGTTGACTGTGGACACCTGAGGCCTGGAGACCACCCAGCCACCAGGCTGGGGACAGCTGAATCATTCAGGACCCCACTAGGTTCTATTTGCACACAGGACTGGTCCTCTGGGGCTGCTGCTTGAAGAGCTTTGGTAGCTGCAAAATGTCCCAGCCGCAGTCCTGCCCTCACCATCTGCTCCAGTTATCTACTGAGTAACATACCACACCAACACTGACTGGCTTAACAACAATCCTTTATTTTGCATTTTGAGCAGTGTTCAGCAAGGACCACTCATATCTGCTCTACAATGTCTAGGGCCTGGAACTCAAAGGCTAGGAACAGCTGGGGACTGCTGGGACATTTCTCTTCCTACAGACTCAGGGCATCTCCCCACGGTCTTTCCCATATTCTCTGCAGTAGTCTCTGGGTAGCTGAATTTAGGGGTGACTTGAGGCTCCAAGAGCAAGGATTTCCAGAGGCCCAGGCAGAAGTTGCAAGGCATTTATGATCTAGCTTCAGAAGTTCCAGGATACGGTCATTTCCACTGTATTCTATTGGTTTAACAAATTGCTAAAACCAGCCCAAATTCTGGGTGAGAAAGTATAGACCCTATCTCTCAACAAAAGGAGTGACAAATAATTTGCCACCATTTTAAAACCATCACACTGTCTCACCAAGTCCTCAACAAAACCTTCTAACTGATTTGCTGTCCCCAGATTCTCATTAGTGTCAGATTGGGAGGCAGCAATGCACAGCGTAGAAAAAGTGAGGGTTTTGGAGGCCACCAGCCAGCCCTGCATCATGGTTCGGGCAGGATCCACTACTCAGCAACAGGTTGAGCTTGTTAGGTTACTTAACTCAGAGCCCCGGTGTTCTTGAGTGTAAAATGAGGATGATACAATATAGTTTCCAAGGAAACGTACTTCTTGGATCTTGCAGTGTAGACAGCATAACTAACCAATGGCTCTGCCTCAACTGCTGAGCTCTGCTGAAATCCATCCTCTGATATTTATCCCCAGGTTGCTGCAGAGGCCAGCTTCCTAAGGCTGCTCCCAGACCAGGACTGAGCACAGCAGGGATAGTAGGGATACTAAGGCAGGCCTCTCTTTGGGAGATGACAGACCTCTGGGACAGGCCTATTTGGCTAAAGGATTCTGCACCCCCGTGGCCTTGCTAAACTTTTAGACATGAAGTGTGTATAATATCAAGTGCTTCCTTCCACCCAGCCTTCCTTCCTTGCCTACCTCTTTCACACCTGAATCCCAGGTCCAGCTCCTTGTCTGTTTCCCTCAAAACTCTCATGCATGGTACTCCCATCTGCCACTGTTTCTGGATGACTGGGACAAACACAACCTCCTATTCATAGGACTGCCAAGATATTAAATTAGTAGAACAGTGCAAAACACCTAGTTGAGCGCTGGCATAGAAGAAACACTCATTTAACTAACACTTCTTGAGTCCTTGCTGTGTGCAGGCCTTGGTCCTAGGTGTCTAGGACAGATAGTGAGCAAAGCAGACAAGAACACCAGCCTGCTTTAAGCTTGCCAACTTCCACCTTTCAACAGGATACCAAAGCCCTTCAAAGTCTGACCCCTTGGGGCCTCCACACCTCCGACTCCACACCCTGAACACCTGAGCCTACCGTCAGATGGAACTTCCTTCTTGCTTCCTACAGGTTTGGCTCTTTCACCCCCAATGGTTTTGCTCAGCACGTCCTTCTCCGTGAAATGCCTCCTCCTCCCTTTTTCGCTCATCTTCCTTTCTTGCTCAGGCCCCTTACGTGACAAACTCTTACGCATGCCGCAGACCGCAGTTCAATGTGGGGGTCCTAGGTCATCCAGGCAGAACGGGCTTGCTGGCGTGATCTCAGCAGGCACCTGGTAGAAGCACTTATTACGTTGCCTTATAATTGCGGTAACAGTGTCCCCGCTAACTTGGAGCAGGGGAATGGCCCAACCACCCTGAATCCGCAACACTTGGCCCATGGCAGGCCCTCAGATCTATGTGCGGATGAGCGAATGAGTGTGTGAACCGGGTTCGGTGATTCCGGTGGGGTGAGTGTCTGGCCTGCAGTGGAGGCGCTGGGAGCAGCCAGGCCGGGTCTGGCTCAGGCGCCGCAGACACTCAGGGCCACCGGGGACCAGCCGGGGAGGGCGCGGGCCGAATCGTTGCCGCCGCCGCAGGGCGCATGACTGCGGCCTCCGCCCCCGCCCGCCTCCCCGCGCAGTCGCCGGCAGTCGCCTACCCGGGTTGCGGCGAGCCGAGCCCGCGAACGTCACGGCCCTGCGCGCTCGCTGCACTCTCCCGAGCTGCGCTAGGCTGGCGCCGCGGGCTGCCGGGCGGGGGAACCGAAACCGAGGCCGGGCCCGTCTCTCCGCGGCCCCGCCCGCCCAGTGCACCGGGGGCCGCGCTCGCCGGGCCGCGGAGCCCAGAGCGAGGGCGCGGGCGCTGAAGGGTCCCGGGTCTTCGGACGCCTCTGCGTCGGCTTTGGTGGCGGCTCTGGTGGCGGCTCCTCCCTCCTTGTAGTTGGATCCCTGGCGGGTGAGGCCCGGCCCGGCCGGTGAGCGGCGCGCAGAATGGGCCGATGCTGCTTCTACACGGCAGGGACGTTGTCCCTGCTCCTGCTGGTGACCAGCGTCACGCTGCTGGTGGCCCGGGTCTTCCAGAAGGCCGTGGACCAGAGTATCGAGAAGGTGAGGCGGGGCGGGCTGTGTGTGTGTTGTGGGTCCACCAGCGCAGCCTCCCACCGCTGCTGCTGCGCCTTGCACGGGGCAGAGCGTCTGCACTACGGCCCTTCGCGCTTCCCTGTCTTCCAGGGCTTGGTAGGCGAGGGTTAAAGGAGGATGGGGAAGGATGGAGCCGACTCTGTTCATTCTGCAGTAATAAGTAAGGCTATGGATCCTGACTTTTAAAAAGGCTTTCGGTTGTGTTCTGACGTTTGCAACTCTCCCGACTCCTTCGGTCTACATCCCAATCTCAGGTGGGCCCAAACTTGTTTCCCTCCCACTTCATGAAGAAACAGAACTAAATGAAAGACACCGCAGAAGACGAAGGTTATGCTGTCTGCTTGCTCTGGCCTTTGAAGTGGTGTGCGCCTCGGGGATGAGAAGTGGGTGGGCGGTCTATTGTGTTCTTGCCTCCCTGGGCTGGCCAGGGCAATTGGTAGCTGAGCCAGTCCTTAAGACTGGGTGACATTTCATCCATCAGTCTGTGCTGAACGCCGACTCAGTGGCTTTGTATCTTGTACCAACAATCTGTGTTGCTTTGTCTCACCATGGATTCTTCTTCTCAAACGGCCGTAATTTTCAGGCACAGATGCATTTAGATCCCTGCAAGAATCTGAGCTTGCCTCTTCCCCTAGATGATTGGGCTGGAGAGCCAGTCCTTTAAGAAGACTTCTCCATCTTTTGATTTCACTGCTCATTTCATCTGCCCTTTCCCCCACACCCACCAAGCTGTATCAAAAGAGGAACAAGAGAGAGTTCCTGGGATCATTTTTTCCTTAAAAAAGAAAAAAAAAGTCACTGGGACAGCAGCCTTTCTTGTTAGCATTCATAACTGCATGCTTAATTTCTCCCACTGTTCTGCATTTGCTGTGGCCAGATAAAGAAGCCCAGCCTAGTCCAGTTTGAATCACAGCACTCTCCAGTTAGTAAAAGCTATTTTATTCCAGGTGGCAATGGATATATTCCTTTAACTGAGTTTCCAAAAGTAATTAACTGAACACCTGAAATCTGGCAGTTAAAGGCAATTTTTCAAAAAGCACCATGGCAAAGCATAATGTAATGTTTAAAGTTCACATTGCCAAGGGCCCACTGACTGAGCATCTTGAAGGTCAGTTTCCTCTGAGCACTCATGTTCAAGGAAACAAGAAACCAAATCCTTTCTCCACTCCTGTCCATGTCCAAATCCATGGTGAGATGTGTTTGAGAATGTCAACTCTTGCTTTGGGTGACTAGAGTTAAGCAATCCAATTATAGTCAATATGTGAGTTTTCTTGTATGACTTTGAAAGGCGTTTTCAAGGGAGGCCTATAGAATGAGTGATCTTCCAGTGGTTCCCATTATAGCCAGCCCTTAGATTCTCTGTGGGTCTCCATTTCTCTGGGTGAGGGGGTGGCTGTAAGACGACTTGGCTGGGGCCTGAGTTTGTGTTGATATGTCCAAGTGTTTTTTTCCATGAGGAATGGACTCATTTTGATAAGTAATAACAGTATAGGGAAGTGGACTTTCAGAGCTGCTCAATCCCAGCTAAGGAGGACTGCGCAGTGTATTGTGTGAAACTAAAGGACAGGGCTAGTTTCAGTGGGCAGATGTGGAAGTACTGTTGTCATTAGAGGTAAGTCACACATTGCTATTTTGCTTTTTCCTGGATTACGTGTAGGGTGGTAGGTAGCATAGGTTAGTGGGAAAGAGTGAGGACCTTACACTCCTGGGCATGAAGCCTAGCTTCCACCTTATACCAGGTGGATGACCATGGGCTGTTTAATCTTACTTGATTCATGTTTTTCCCGTCTGCAAATGGGGATAATAAGGATAATGATCACATCTACTTTCTCAAATAATTCTTATAACCTTAAAGAGTGATCTTTCTGGGATATAGTTAGTGCCTAATAAATGATAGCAATTTTATATTTATTAGAAGCCACACAAAGAAAATACATGGGATTTGGAGTCAGATTCCATATGTTCAAATCCTGTCGTTACTATTATAAGCTTTATGACTTAGCTCAAGTTACTTACCTGGTTCTCAATTTCATTGCTTGTAAAAGTGGAGATATGAGATGTTAGCTAACTTGGGCACAGCAGTGCGTTTACTGTGAAACTCACAAAGTAAAGCTTTGGGTCCCTCACTTTCACAGGCTCTTCCAGAGCCCTGTACCTAATTCCATATCCCAAATTTTCCTTTTTCTTAAGAAGGGCCCTTCAAATTGTATAAGCTTCAGGACCCACAAAAACGGGATTTGTCTCTGCATGTGTATTATTGTAGGACTAAGTATAAAACACTTAGAGTATTGGGCACAGAATAGGTGATCGATATATGGCAGTCATCTTTATTGCCACTATGGGAGAATTCCTTCATAACTTGATTCTAATCTAGTTGAAATATAATCTACTGTGATATTTCTAGTTCTTTGCTTTTTCATGTGAAGATTGTCCATGCCCTGACTTGTCTACATCAAAAAGGGGAGAGGGAAAAGGGATGAAATTCAAATGAGTAGGTGTGGGAAGCTTAGTAAGATAATTCCCGTCAAAAAAGTTGCCTCAAATGATAATTGTCCTTGAAACCTGCAGTGACAACAGGTAACTGTAGACAGACTTTTTATTTTGGCCAGTGAATATAGTAGAAAGAACCAAGACAATTTTGTTTCATTCTTGGCCTCAATGGTGACTGTCTTATATCAGGCAAGGCCTGTAATTGTTTCTGCTTCAGTTTTCTCATTTTCAAGAGAGGCATTATAGTACCTCTCTTCTCTTTTTCCCACACCCTCTTCCTAGGGGTATTATGAGCATTAATAAGGCATTTCCTTGCAGGCATTTGGGGCTTCATGAAGAGAGAGCTTCACAGAGACCCAACAGTTCCTTTTCCTCTCTTAGGCCTGGAAGGGCAGGAGTTTATGTTACATTTCATCTGGTAGCCCAGTGAACCGCCTTGATACCCAGTGCAGTGCCTGAGATACATGTTAAATGCCTCTTGACTCACCTGTGATCATTTTAATAGAAAGGTGTCCTCAGAATCAGCAGAACTGAGTCAAACTTTTTCTTTCTGTCCCTTAGGATTTCTTGGGCTAAGCTGAACAAGCACAATAGCAAGTTATTTAATCCCTCAAAGCCTCAGGATCCTCATTTTGAAAATATGCATAATAAGGATAAGAATACCTATGTCATAAAGTTGTCATAAGAATGAAATAATATGATTGCTATAAAGCACCCAGCATAGTGCCTCACAAATGCCTGAACGTTAACATTTGTTAGGTTTTTTTTTTTTGTTTGTTTTTTGAGATGCAAGGCTGGAGCGGAGTGGCATGATCTTGGCTCACTGTAACCTCTGCCTCCTGGGTTCAAGCGATTCTTTTGCCTCAGCCTCCCGAGTAGCTGGGACTACAGGCGTGCGACACCATGCTCAGCTAATTTTTGTATTTTTAGTAGAGGCAGGGTTTCATCGTGTTGACCAGGATGGTCTTGATCTCTTGACCTTGAGATCCGCCCACCTCGGCCTCCCAAACTGCTGGGATTACACGCATGAGCCACTGCGCCCAGCATTTGTTATGTCTTTAGCTATTATTTGTCATCTGTGAATTGGAATTGGATTTACACAAGCTATGGTTCCTTCTAGCTCCAAACTTCCAAGATCCCAGGCACAGTGACCTTTAAGAGCACCTATGACACAGGCACAGTGACCTTTAAGAGCAGCTATGCAGTTCAGAATATTAAATTTGCACCCCTGATCTCTGCAGACGTGCTGGCAATTTGACTATCTCCCAGTAACAGGGAAGCAGAACTGGCCACAGTCAGAACTGGCTAACAAGGGATGGGCTGGCAAAGGAACCAGTGGGATGCTGGATACTGTTTATACCTTTTACTTCCTCCTCACAGGTCAAGGCAGGACTGTAGCATTAGGCCTCAGAGATGCAATGAACAAGACAAATATACTTCCCCTTCGTCTGGACCTGAGGCTTAGGCAAATCAGTACCAGTTGGTTTCTTTTGGGAGCCATAGCAACTTTGGAGCTGTTCTACTGATGCCTTGAGAAGTAAAATATAATCAATGATAACCAGACTGCTTTGATTGGTAACTATATGGGATCTTCTTTTTTAAAGTCAAATCAGTAAAACATCTTCATCAATGTATACATAAAGGCATTCAGCTATATATAATTTGAAAGGGCTCCTTCTTGCATATCTACTTCATTTCCCGAGTTGCCTCTATTCAAAGAAGACTTAACTTAGTCTAAAATTTTTCTTGATCAGAAAAAAACAGTAAAGATATCTTAAATCTCTTATCTTACTGTCAAGAAAATCGAGGCTCAGGGAATGGAAGTGACTTATTTAAAGACAAATGGAGAGGGAGGGGTAGAGCTAGGCGCGCCAGCTGGTCTCCTGATCCTGAGCCCACTTTTCCCATCTCAAGGATGACCGTACATCCCATTTGCCCGGGATAGTCCTACCTGGTTTCTTTGTACCTGTTGTTCTGGTGTAATCATGAACACCCCCTTTCCTCCAGAAGATTTCCGCTTTGGACAATAAATTCTGTGGTCACCCCCTGCCACCACATGCCACATTGTTCTTACAGACAATAATGTATCCCGATTCTTGGCTCCCTAAGGAGTTGAGGCCTACTCAAGCTAGCTCAAGCAAAATGGGATTGTTATTTTTTTCTTTTTGTAAATCTGGAAAGCTCATAGAAATCAAAGGGCAAGAACCACGGCACAGTAAGGCCTCCTGAGAGGACAATTGAAAGTGGAACGTCAGCAGGAACCAGGCACACTCTGTCTCTCCTCTGCTTTCTCCACCAACAGGCTTCCTCTGTTTACTCAGCCTGGCTCTGTACTCATCCAGGCTTGCTCAGCCCCGCCTCGGGGTGACTTTCCAGCTGCTGATCTCTCATGGACATGCTTCACCTCCTAGTTTCTCTTTTCCAAGTTTGTAATGGAGCAATGTGATTGGCTCAGCACAAGAAGAAACCACAGTGCT